GATAAAAATTTTTAATTGTTTTAAAATGCATTAAATAGAAATCAGTTTATTTATTTTGATGTTAAATATTGATAATTATACTACAATTGATTTTACATTTTTTATTAATTCAAAAAGCATTTATTTCGTTAAATATCTTAAATACTTTTTCGTATCTATTATATATACATCCATTATTCATTAAAATTTCATCAAGAATTTTTATTAGAAGGATGCTCTCTTATGAAAATAGCTTAAGTTCCTTAAAATCAATTGAACGGTTACGTAAAATAATATATTAAAAAATAAAATTTATGGCTTAATTAATGTTCGAATTTTTTTAATGAATTTAACTAATATCACTTATATAAATTGTACTTTAAAACATTTATTTGTTTAAATATTCAAAATGTAATAAAAAAAAATTCTCAAAGTAAAAATGTATGAATATAATAATATTGTTATTTTATTAAGGCTAAAGTTCTATTCATGTGCTGAAAGTGATGATAAATATTGTAAATGTCTTACGAACATTCACTAATTAACACTTGCAGCAGTTGTAAGGCATATCCTTTTGTAAATGATGTTATATTCTTTATATTATCTGCCAAAACGCAACAACGGTAAATTTTGATAATAAAGTTAACAATAATTTAACTACTTTAATTTTCTTAAACATACTTTAATATTTAATATCTTAATAATTATATTTAATCTTTTACAGTTTTTATGTTAAGTAATTTATCTCTATTTTCTTATACGTTCCTGTACTTATTAAATATTCAAGAAAAAAATAGAAATGCATAAAATTTTCTAATGTGACTGAGGTATTTTAAAAATGCACTTTATAATTTATCTGCATTAAATACAAATATAAAAAATCGGTAATTTATTATCTTTATGTGTAATAGAGACGTTTATTTTCATTTAACAATAAAGAAATAGTATTTCTATAAATTTTTGAAAATAAGATGTATACGATTCTCGATATTACGATTTTATTAAAACAAAAATTAATGAAAAAAAAATAATGATACGTATATTAATATTTACATGTAAATATAAAGTTTTAATATAATATTTACGTAATATTTACGCTTGTTATATCTTAACTCAAAACTTGTTATTTTCTAATTGTTTTTGAACAAGTAATTCAATAAAATTATTTTTAAAATTTGAAAACAATAAGATTTTCTAACAATAAACAATTTAATTTATTTACTATAATCATCCTCAATGTTTTCTTTTTAAAATCGATTCAGATAGACTTATACTGTTATATTTTAAATTGTAGTTTCTTTCGAGAATTATTTCTCATTCGATAATAATATCCATTGATCTTAATTACTAGAAATTTAAAATGTCTCAACATAAAATTAAATAATGGAGTTTTCTTTTTTGTATTTAATTTATATGTTTTTTGTCTACATATTTGTTAACAGTTTTAATGTGATTAGAAGGTATATGAATAATAAAAGTAAGATGATAGATTATATTGTAAAACATATACCAATGATTAATGATAACATTTATTTCAATAATTTTTACTATCGCATAAATTTATGAAAAATGTGAGCATTTATCTTAAGTATGTTACATAATTTTTTTAAATGATTATTATCATATAAACTTTAATATTAATGAATGAAGCGATGATAGTAAGTCAAAACGCGTTTTATTCGCTCCAGAATTATAAATAACAGCGATGACTACAAAAATAAATTTTCAGTCAATACAGTTTAAGTGAAAATTTATTGACGAAAACACCAACAAAAAATTCTTCTTATTATTAATTAAAATCAAAAACAATTTTTTAAGTAATTTAGTGCAGTCTAAAAGCATACTAGAATATAATTTTCTTTATAATCTAGTAAATATTATATAAGACATAGAAAATATTGTTTAACTTGCTGTTAGAGAAGTAAACTAGAGTAAGGAACAGAAAAGTTCTCACAAGATTTTTTGGATGAGTCTGAAATGAAGTACATATGTCGATGTAGAGCGGAATTAATCTTTAGGGAACGTGCAGGAATAGAAGAATAGTCTAGTTGAGAAGTATTCGACTTTAGATGTTTGAAACTAGCCGAGGGAGTTTCCCCAGAGAGCGACATAACGTCGCCGCTAGAATAGCCATATACGCAACGCAAGTCGACGCCAATTCAGAGATCATTGACCGTATCTCAACTGATGCTGCAACTCTTTCCACTTTTTGAGCGTGGGAGAATGTAAAACAAACAAAAGCAAAGCGATTTTTATTTTTCATTTTTGGTCAAATAATTAAATCTTTACAATGCTATATTACTTCTTTGTTTTCAGTTTCTCAAACAGTTAATGCGATTGGAGAAAATTTGTTCTAATTATTTTAACCTTATATAGAGTAGTTTTATAAATAGTTTTCCATGGTGTTCAAATTAACGCATTTGTGGAAAAATTATCTATAAGCATTTTTGTTATTGCGTTATAAGCATTAAATACCGGAAAAATGTTTTAATTGCTATTTTTATAATCTGTTAATTTAAATTTAAGTAAGTAATAAAATAAAACTTTAAAAGTATAATTGAATAAATTTCATTATATATTCAGTCATAAATTATCTTAACATTTTCAATCTTTTTATCATTTTTTAAAATAAAAAATTACCTGGAAATAAATTTTATTATTTTGTTTAGTAAAAACAAATATAATTCCTTCATATGATAGTTTTTAAGTATATTTAAAAGTCAAATATACATAATGAATAGCATTTTTACTCGTTTATCATTTTGTTATATATAAAATGATCTAAAATCAATCATTTGCATTTTATTTTATATACGTTAAAACTATTTTATTGCAGGAGTTTTAATTTATTTTTTATGATGAAAAAAAGTAAATATTTTAAAAAATTATTGACATAAAATTATGTACAACTTTAAATTCTTAATTACCTTGAATAAAAATGATTTTGTCTGTTATAAAATAAACAATTTGGACGTTATTGATTTAATTTAGATTTTCAGAATTTGAAAGTATAATAAATAAAATCAACTAGTTAATTCAATTTTATAATAGCATTATATTTGGTTAAAAATTATTTCTCTAAGAATATTTGCATATAAGTAAATATATACTTTACTTTTCATATAAAATAACATCATTTAAGTGTATGAATTATACTTATATTTAATTGTAATTCCTGTAAATCAATATCCCGTTTTTATACAGTTTCTTTTTGATTCTTAAGAGAAGAAATGTTTGTTCCTTTAAGGCCTAAAAATAAAGTAATTATTAAAAATATTTTATTACTAATTATATTTACTTTAAAGTATTTCAAGGATGCATTTTAGAATATAACTTCTTATCACTGCATTATTATCTTAAAATTGAAGATTTTCCATTCAAAATATGAACATAATAACCTTCGAAATCTCATTTGATATAACCTATAATTAGATTTTTATTGAAAATTGTTTTTAAAATATTTATTTTCTTATTTTTTTATCCAATGTACGATAATGTTATTTGAATGTGGGAAAATCCAATTAAATTAAATTGTTATAAATTTTTTCTTCTTAATTTAAATTGTAATTATTATTTTCACTTTCAATTATTGAATTCTATTCAAACTAATTTAATATCAAAAGTAATTTTAAAGTAATAATTAATTTTATATAAATTTTTCTTGTTGAATATATTTTGTTACATTTTTATATTTGTTAGTAATTGTATTGTAATAAAATTATAATTAGTTTTCTTTAGAAAATAAATTTTATTATCTTTTAAAAAATTTCTTTTTTAAAAATGGAAAAATTTTAAATAGCATTTATTATTTAAATAGATTTATACAAAATTATTTTGTGTATATTATTACTGCTGTAATTAATGGACGCAATTTAACAAGGTTTACACTAATTTGAATAATTTGGTGGAAAATCATTTATCATTTCTATATAGGATAAAGATGATAACTAGGTTATCAGTCTTTGTATGTGAAAATTACAAATACTGTAAACTGTTGTATTTGTTTACCGGTATCTGAATAAATTACTGTATTGTTTATTTGCTTATCAGGCTTAAGTAATTATTTTAAAGATGACAAAGAAATAATTAAAATGTATATAAGTATCAACAATCTACGGTAACGAAATTAAAAATATATTTTCATAAAAATAAATCAGTTTGAATGAAAAGTATACAAAAGTAATAAAAATTGTCATTACTTTAATTTTTTATAACAAACAAACAAAAATGTAGTATATAAATAAAATAATGAGTAATTAATGTCTAGAAATAGTCATACATTTTATTTTTTACATTAAAACATTATTATTATTGTTTTTCTTCAATAACGATAATATGAATATTTTTGAAAGAATCTGAAAAACAATAACATTTTGCAACATATATATTTTTGTAAATTTTTGTATTATAAAACAGGAACAACATATATATATATATATATATATATATAGCTTACTTGGTATGTTATACGTAATATATATATAGAAATTTAATAAAAAGAGAATAGAAACTGAGTTAGCAAGCTAGAAGGGTTTCTTTTTCACATTTCTGATAGTTGCACACTTTTGGAATTTTAACAGAGAATAGAAATAGAAGACAAAAAGATTTTTTGCGGAAAGTTCGAAATTTATGACCTGCATAAATGTCCGGAAGAACAAAACTTCCACAACTCATGAAAAATACATAGCTTACTGTGT